TAGGCAGGCAACAGATGCACCGAGCAGCGCTGTCTTCGAGATGGTCCTCACCGCAGAACACAAGATCCAGGGGGCGAGGTTGGATCCAGATCCAACTCCTCCCACCTTACATATACCTAAACCTACCCGTCTCCACCCCCTGATCCCTAAACCCACCCATCTCCACCCCTAAACCTACCCATCTCCACCCCCTAGATGTGGATCCAACCCCGCCCCCTGGATCTTTGTTCTGCAGTGAGGGGCTACTGAGACAAGCTACACATACTAATGTAATCTACCGAAGCGGCTCAAGCTTTACTAAACGTTAGCAAGCTTAAGCAAAACATTAAACGCAGCCTAGGGGAGGGTGAGGTAGACTGGATGCCATTACGAAGGCAATAAAGAACTAAGACAGGGAATAGCTTTTCGAAAGGTTTTTAATTGGATTGGAGAGTTTAAGGCTCCAGTTCAAAATTGGACTTGAATCAGCTTTTAAAGATTTGTTCAAAAGAAACGGGTCCAACTGCAACATCCCCTGACGTCCGCCTGTAGGTTTACAAACATTTGGGGCCTGTTCTGAATCTTGACAACTGCAAAACCAAACCATGCGTCACACAAACGCACTCAAACCCATGAGAGATAAATATACACTTCATAACATGGCATGAATCATCTCATGAGTCAGCTTGTTCCCTGTTCCCTAGAGGGGAAGTACTAAGCTGGAGGAGAGTATCAATACAGCACACAGGCAGAACGCAATAAGGCCTCTGAGTAAAGGCCCTATTGGCTGTGCCACTGCCACCCCCGATGATGCGTGTTTGTGGGCGAGCGGAACGAGTCCCTGCGGCTGCGTTCTTACCGCTATGGGTATCTTCACACGCTTGGGCCTCCTGCTCCTCTTAGGAGCCATGGGGCCAGCATTGCTCTTCCAGACAGAACAGATAGAAAAGGGAGGAGCATAAAGCGCTAATGTAACTCTAACGCAACGCTCTCTCAACAGCTGCACCTTGAACATTGACTATTATCAAGGGACACTGTTAGAGCCGTCGTTCCTCCAAAGAGAAAGGCAGAAAGCGGTGTGTAACAAATAAATACAGCAGCCGAAATCCCATGTTAATGCCAGGCTGACAAAACGCTCACTTTGTGCTGGTCAACAGATGTCGCTTGATAAGAGAAGTCCTGTGGGAGTCTACTTAAACATGAGGTGAAACTCCAAAGAAACACAGACTAAGGCTTTGTTCACACTGCACTTAAATCCTATGCATTTTTTTTTTTAATGGCTGGATTCAAGAAACATTCTTAAGAATGTTAACTGCTTGATTTTTCTAAGAATATTTTGTATTCCCAAAAACAATTCTGAAGAATGTTATTATCTGTTTTAGATTGAAACGCTGTCGAGGTACTTTGAATCAAAGCAATATAGAAATCCTGGCCAGGACTTGTCCGGGGAAAATGGCACGTATGGTCACCCTAGGTTTTCCTTTGCTAAAGTAAGGAAACTTTGCTTCCTTTGCTCCTGTTAACAAACGTTGGTTTTCACGAGACTCACCGGCGCATGCGCAACGCCGACATCTTACCGGAGCTGCTTCCATGTACAACTGTTGGCGCAGGCTAGATTAAATTGATTATTACATTTTGAATATGGATATTTTTCTTACAAAAAATGCATCGATTCGCTACAGGAAGCCTTTGTTCACCCCCCGGAGCCGTGTGAGACAGTTTTTTTATGGATGGGCGCTTTTTATTTAACTTCTTTTGGACTGAAGCAA